TGGGCTCTGGCTGCACTCCATGGTTTGGGTCTCCTGTTTGTTCCTGTCCTGTGGATTCTGTCCCTGCTCTTTGGTAACATTTCACCACCATTCCTGGCTATTCTGAGCACCTCATTTTCACTCCTCTTACCCAGCAAGCATGCTCCTAAGTTGGGTACAATCTATATTTTGGATCTGGGGTTTGTCTTCTGAATTCTTACTGACTTCCATGGATGTTGGGCTTTGCTTTCGTCTTCTTTTCAATGTAAATGAAGCTTTGCATTGGGACTTGGGTCTGCAGGGTTTTGTCTGTGGCTGACTTGATGGATCACGAATGATACAGTAGCTAACATGTTTGAATGTTGAGTTGTGCCATACAATGTATTAAACACCGTATACACGTACCATTGAATCCTCACAACACCCTTATAAGATAGGTGCTATTATTATCCACATTTTACAGATGAAGACACGCCAGTTTAAAGAGCCATGAAGTAACAGGGCCAAGTTCAAACACACAGCAAATGGTAGACCTAGGAGAGTTCTTGACTACATCGCAGTTTCTCTTTGTAAAACAAGGTAGCCATTTATCATCATCTACAAAGTCTAGAGAACCTTCCAGGATAGTGACTTTAAAATTTAGGCTATCAATTTCTTTACAATCTGGTAAGAATAGAGTTGATCCCTGAATCAGGGTTTCATGTGTATGGCAATAGCATGACAAGAATGATCTAGTTAAAACATAAAACTGTTAAGTCTGTGACTTCTTAAATATTACTTTTCTGAATAAAATATAGTATGTATTGTTCCAAAAACCTGTAAAATACAGAAAAGATGAACAGAACGAACTTTTAGTATTATTGCTGATAATTTGGTGGCATGTTCACACTCAGACGTGGTTTTACATAGTTGAGACTATGTTATCTGTAGTTTTGTACCGAGTCACAGACTCATAAGCATCATTCCACATCACTAAAATCTCTTTGTAAATCTAATTTGCAACACAAGACTGCGAATATACTCTCAATTATTTAACATTTCCCCAATATTGGAGGTTTGTTTTTATTTGGCTGTTACTAACAGTATGACTAACTTAGTTTTCTCATTTCTGTTTTCTCTTTATTATACATTTACAGAAGTTGGGTTACTGAGGTAATAGAAATATTTGTAAGACTTGATACATACCACCATGTTGATATCCAGAGTGATCCTTCACTTTATTTTGCTTCAGTGGGTCTCTTCTTCCTGTTTCTATGTGACTAGAGAGTCTGAAAGTCAGATCATAGCACTAAACATTCACCTTCCTCTTGAGAGATAAGCATCGATGTGGTGATCCACTTGTCATAATTAGTTAACTGATTGGCTTTTTTTTTTTTCCTGGCATTTGGGCTCGAATCCTTGATATTTTTTTTGCTTACAAAGTTCAAATTTTCTTCTGACTCTTAACCCTCTCATTGGAAAGGATCTTAAAATTGAGCAAAGGTATAATAGTTGATGCCTTTCCATACCCTTGGATGAAAGATGTTTTGCAGATTCATAGTGTCCCTCACCATTCCTGATTCTAGGAATTTAAAATGTAAATGAATCATTTTTTTTTAAATGAGGGGACTAATTAATAGATTGTTTTTAGTTGATTACCCAATCTCTAAGATGCTAAGATGCTGAGCAGTTGTTGAGTTGCTTACTGTAGTGTATTCCATCGTCCTTATAATGTCAGGACTGCTTGTTACTCAGGTCTGGACTCCCGTCTCCCTCCACGTGACCTGAGGGAGAGAGGTCTCTTAACAGGAGGGAAGGAGGACAACCTACATTCATCCTTCCCGGTTGCGTGGCAGCTGCTGCTCTAAGAGCAAAACATTATTCCCATTTTCAGATGGGAAAGCTATCTGAAGCTCAGTGAAGTTAAGAAATTTGTTCAAGTCTGCACAGCTCATAGGCAGAGTAGACATAATAGGACCCTTGAACTTTTCCATATTCTCCTCACTGTGCCTTTCTGCCTTCTAAGAGAAGTGGGGGCGGGGCGTAGCGGGGTGGAATGGAGAAGGTTTGAGTACCAGAATGCTTCTGAAGCATGTATTCGAAAGGTGCTGATGTGGGAGACAACAGGTGTTTTCTAGTGACTGGGCTTCTCGGGCTTAGTGCTGACTTCCCCATGAGTCTCCTTGTCCCAGGTATTTCTGACCTTTCCTCTCCACCTTCTAGGATTGTGGCTGATCCTTAACGTTGCTCTTCACCGTCATCCTGTGCACTGATCAGCTCCTCCTCCCCGGCCTCCCTTAGAGTCCAATTTTTCTGCAGCCTGGTGTGGCCACCTTGTCTTCAGATGGGACCAGAGCTTGAATGGCCTTCCTGAGTGAGAACGGGACCCATTCCTCTGTTTCCTTGTAACCATCCTTGGACCTGACCCAGCAAACCATCTGGTCCTGAGGAATCTCATCTACCTGATACAACTTTGCGTTTTCCTCAGAACCTTGTCCTGCCCACCAGCTCTGAAGTGCCTTCCCTCCTGGAAAGTCTGAACCAACCCAGCTTCTCTTCCCTCTGATGTGTCAAATTTTGCCTCGCACCTTGGAAAGCCTATTTGAGACCTCCCCAAGGTGCTGTATTTTCTACCTCATGGAGTATTCTAGAAATTGCAATGCATTTTTTAAAGGGGATTGGGGTCTTCAACAAAGCAAAGGGATGCTTCCAGGTTTGACAACAATAGGCTTAGACCTGAGCTTTCTACCTGGCAGGATCCCAGTCCTCAGTTTGTTGTCCCCATGTTCTGAAAATATGAGGGATTGGCAGATGTCATTTTGGTATGGGAAGCAGACTTGTTTGATATTCAGCCTTAAATTAAGCTCTTAGTATGTTCAGCTTGGTGGCCAACTTTGATATTTGTCTGTGCTGTATTCTCTCATGTTTACTTAAGGAGGTGCCAGCATGATACAGTCACCTGAGGTTACCATTTGTGAAGGCGGAGCATATGGGATGTTTATCTTTATGGCTGAGTCTTGGAAACTGGTCACCCACTGTTAGAGCAATGATATAGGAAGCCATTGCCTTGAGGCCAGAAATAACTAGGTACTTAAAGTTGGGCCAGGGACAAGGTGCTTGAGTGTCAGGCGCTGGAAATGTTTCAGACTGGTGCGAGCATTCACCCATTTCATGTGTTCCAGCTGAGTTTTTATAATCATGTGTGAGATAGATGTACATATATGTATGTGTCTTTCATGAAGTAAGAAGCTAGAAGTGGAGGATATTATAACCTCAGAAAAATGACATTGAGCTAGGTTAAAACTTAGGCAAGAGACATTTGCTTACCTGCAAATGAGTCATAGAAATATGATCTTCCCATGACATCGAGGAACCTGCCATTTCGGGATGACTACTGGGAGAATCATAGATCTTTTGGAGTGAGGACTAAGTTGATTTCCATAAGTACTTCTGCTTAGCAGACAGATGTGACAACCTTTGACATCCCCCTCCCCGCCCCCTGCCCCCACCTCAGCTAGGCTTGTCCACAGCAATTTGATATCATTTCTGTGCCTTTGGAATGTCCTGTTTCCAGGGCTGATTCAGTGGGGGACACCAGGGACTACTGAGTAGCTCTCCCTTCTACCAAGTTAATGAGCTTGACAGATTCCCTGTCTCCCCAAATTCTCGTCATGGAGGAAGTAGTGGCCAATCAACTTGCAAGTGCAGTGACTGTGTGAACCCAGCGGTGAGTCTCTTGATTCCCTGCCAATGTGTGCCAGTCTGCCTGATTTATATTTCAGCACTTGATTTTAATGCTTTCTAGGATAGGGTGAGCACCCTAATCCAGGCACTGCCCGTTAGCTTCCTTTGCAAAAGCTACGAACACCCATTCGTCGCCCACATTCACAGAGTCTCGGGGAAGCCCTCTTGCCCTTGGCTATGAAGTTGACAGTGGACTGGCTCCAGCAGCAAGGCCAGACAAGCTCTAATTGTAGGCTTTTGATCTCCAGAGATTGAGGCCTGGGGCTTATAGTTTGGAATACAAGTTTTTTTTTGTTGTTGTTATTTGTATTTTTTTAATGTAAACTTGATTATTTTATTGCTATTTAAAAAATAAATGACTTTATATTGATTGTGAAACAGTTCTGGCTCTATTTCTCTGCAAAGCACAGTGACTGGGTGCCACCGTGTGGTGGTTTTTGTTTAGGTTTTAGAAAGGGATTAAAATCTTTTTCAAATGTGCTAGATCAGATGCATCAGAAGTTTTAATTTTTGAAAGTGGTTTAACTCTCAAGGAATACAATGTAACTGTATTAGAGGTTCCAGATTTGAGGTGCTGCCCCCAAAAGAATTTGGTTCACTCACTGAGTACTGGCTGTAGGAGGGCATGGAGTGAACGCGTTGTGATGGTATCTAGAAGGCAGAAGAACATAGGAAACATCCTCCAAGATAGCTGTTGATCGAATGTTGAGTCTCTCACCTAGATGTGACATTCCTGTTAACACTCTGGGTATCTAGCCGCCAGATCCATCTCCCTTTTCCTGCGTATCCTCTTCCCCGTCCACATCCACTTGTCTCCCTTCCTTCGGGACGCTCTGCAGTGATGTTTCTCATGTGCTTTTTCTTTCCTTGACTGGACGAGCAGAAGAAGATCATGATCATGATCTGCTGTGTTATCCTTGCGATCATCTTAGCTTCCACCATTGGGGGCATATTTGCCTGAAAAAGGTGAGCCATCTGTGGGGAGGGTCAGGCCCGCTTTCACTGACCCGAAGCTCTCGTGTCCCCAGGGCATTCATTGTTTGTCCCTTGGTGCCCTAATCTGGGTAGCATTAGGTATTGGAATAAAGGTTGAAGGAAACTAAGGAGAGATGTTTCATAGTGAGAAAAGTGAGTGAAGAATGAGTCTGTAGGTGGTAGGTAGGGAGACCAAGGTGCTACTTGGTTCCATCCCAGGTCAGGTAGCAAATGCTTCTTGGTTCAGAATGCTTTGTGTAAGGGTGTTGGTCTCCTGCAGCAACCTGTGGGCCTTGGCACCTGAGAGTGGCATAAGGAGAGTCAGTCCTTGCATTAGAAGCACCCTGAACTTTTTGGAACAGGGCCACACAGTAAATCTGATATAAATATTCAAGGTCAGGACAAATTAACATAGCCTGTGAGTACTCCCTTCCCCCTGCAGAACAGGGATTAGTAACCGTGACCTTGAACATCCTGCTGTATAATCTTTGATTTTCCCCCTCCATTTGTCTGTTATCTCCTTTAGCCTTTACAGATGGATCCTCGACTGGCATTTTTAATCCTTCTCCCTCCTCAGTGGTGCCATCACTTCTCCACTACAGATGCCTCAACAGCTACTCCTTTCTCCATTTTGAAACCTTTTATGACACAGGGCACCAATCAGCTACCTACCGAAGCTATGCAAAGGGAGACTTATGACAGTACAGAACAGGGAGGCGGGCAGGGGAGAAGGACTGGGGGTACAGAAACACAGCTGGTCAGGAAGATGGTTTAAAGGAATGAACCACAGGGTTGAGAAGAAGGCATAACAGGTGCCTGTTCAGGAAATAAAGGCAGATATTGTAGCACACCCCGTTCGTCAGATCTTACTGTAGCTGCTGTAAGTTGACCAGTCGGGGCATTAGTTACTTCTGTTCTTCAGGTTAGAACCTGGAGAGGCTCACCTTTGACCAGCCCTATGTCTGCGTCCTTCCCGTGAGCTCCACTAGGCTTCAAGTGGCGTGTCTCACAATAGGCCCCATGCCATGTCTTGCTCACTGCTGTGCTCATGTTTAGCGCAGTGCCTGCCACTCACAGGGGCTCAAGTATCTGTTGACTTAATTACCTATAAGAAACTCTGGGATCTGCTCATGGACTAGTCCTTGGATTTGACTCTTAAACCCTTTAAGGCATTAGTGGAAAATGGGCTGTGATCGATTCACTTACACAAAAATACAACAGCCCGTCCTCCCCCGTTACAACTTACACCTTGAAGTCCTTTCTCTATGGGTGATGATAGTGGAGTTCTATCAACAGCCTCTCACTCTAAGATGGTTGGCCCCAGGATTGTGGGTCAGTAACTAAACATGGATCCAAAAGTAACAGGTTTACACTGTGCTTGAACTCCTCTCTCAGTCATCAATACCATGCTCTATGAACTGTGATAAAGATGAAGATGTTAGGCCAGGAAGGTGAAATGAGGCTATCACACTCATTTCACTTCTTACCCGATTCATGTTGCTAATTGAACTGTTGACCAGCAATGTGTGTACAAGGAAGTGTTCCAAATACTGTCCCCAATTCAAGGTTCCAATTCTAATGCAATTTGGGGATTAGTTGTATTACAAGACGTTCACTAAAAATACATTAAAAATAGTATACAGCTTTTGAGGATCACATAACTGTTCAGATAAATTTGTATTTTTGAAAGTAAATTACCTTCTTTGCTGGAGATCTTTTTAAGAAAGTGGGATTAAAACATTTGACATTTTAGTCAGTGTGCTTTATATTCACTTCCCACTTTCCAAAGCGAATGGTTTAATACTTCTATCAATTTCATTTTCTTTAGTTTGAACAAGGGATAGAAAACTACTGTGGGCTAGCTCTGAAGAATAGATTAATCTTGTAAGATGCAAACGGGGAGCCGGAACCATGGGGCCCTCATTTGTCCAGCAGCGACTATTTGAGTGCTGTGTGTCACACTACATTGCACTAGAGCCTGCTGGGACACAAAGATAGAGCCACTCTTCTTCCTCAGAGAATTGCAGACCTGGGTAAGGCCACACAATTTCAACTTTTGTTTTAATCAGTTCCTTTTGCTCAAAGGCAAGGGTATGTTCCTTCCATATTGTCCAACATCCCCCCTTCCACGATTCAGAGAAGATGGGTAGCTGGGCATAAATAAATATCTGTTGAATTAACCTATGTACTGTCATTTTTTCCTTTGTTTTTCCAAAAATGTTTGTTTGCATTTGTTAACTAGTAAAATGTCATAGAAACTAGCTCCTGAAGTGTATGTATATGAAAGGTATTAAGTCCAACTTGCATCAGAGGTGGGAGATGCAAACATTTGCTTCATCTCATAGCCAGGCAGGACCAGAGCCTCCAAAAGACAATCGGGCCATTTTCTTAATCGTTTAAGGGATTAAGAGTGACCAATGAGAAGTTATATCCTGAGGTGATACTCCAACTTTATTTAACATAAATATAATGCACTTAAAAAAATCAACAGATATCGTAGTTTTTCAGAAATCATCCACAGCACCTATGCTGCTCCTTGGTTGACATGAGGGTGGCCCGAGTGGACCAAAAATGTAGATTCCTTCTCTTTCAATAGCCCGTGCACATTCATTTCTCACGTTCTCACTACACACGTTCAGGCATGTAGAACTTGCCCCAGTATCGCCCCTTCTGGGTCAGGTCATATGGGCTCAGTACTTTGCGTATCCCCAGCATGTTGGCAGTGGCTATGCGCTCGAAGGTCCAGGGGTTTTGGTTGTTACGTTCTCGTTCCTCTTGATCTTTCCGCATCTTCTCTAGAGTCTCACGGCTCACGGCCTTTGCTGGGAAGGGCAACTTGTGGGCAACCTGGTCAAGGAAACCTTGTACCTCTTTGAATTCACAACGTCCACCCACCTCTACAATGAGGCGGCCAGCCTTCACGGGAGTCACGTAGTGATCAATGGCCCCTTTGCCTCCTCCCATGCGCTGTCCCACGCTCTTGCGGGTGATAGGCTTGAAAGGGGCTGGTACTCGCCATAAGGCAAACATGTTCTTGGGGTCCATAGAGCGGTTGATTGTCAGGCGCATCATTTCAAAATGGCCCCAGTGGAGGTAACCACCACCCAGTGCCTAAGTGAACGGAAGAGTTAGAAACATGGGGATTTAGCTCAACAATGCACATGAAAATAAAAATGTGAGTTCTAATAAGTACCATAGAGTAAAAGCCTAGGGTAAAGCAATAAATAACAAGGGTGGACCCACTTCAATGGACAGCCAGTGGGAAGGCCTCTTTGAGGAGATGACATTTAAAGCTGAGGCCAGAACAGTACGAACTAGTCAAAGGAAAACAGACAAGCGTTCCAGGTAGAGGAGTGGCGTAGGTGAAGGCTGGGTTTGTTTGAGCAGAGGTCAGTGTGGCTGGAGGGGCGTGAGGAACGGGGAGTGGACATGAGGCTGAGGGGCAGACTGATCATGCGGGCTGTGGGAAGACTTGAAAACACCACTCTGGCTGCCTGATGGGAAGTAAGCCCAGTCCACACCCGTTTGTGTGACTACTGACATCGAGTCTTCATGGAAGCTACTCGATGAGTAAGGAAACAGCTGGATAGTTTTATTTTTTCAGAAGCTTGAGATCTCGGAGTCTGATTATAGGGTAAACTAAGTAGCCTTTCCTTTCCCTGCTTTTACATTATTTTCACTCTATATAACAAAGGAAAAGATACATAACTTGAATGTTTACCGGGTAATGCACATCAGTTTAAAGAGTAACTGGTGGCAGTTTTAATGAAACTTGTGAAGGAAGAAACTAGAATTAATTCAATGAATATGAGATTATGTGAATCCCTGGCTTCTATCCAGTAGCTGCTTGAAACTGAACTTACTCACCAGGATTGCAAAGCTGCCTTCTGTGAACTCAGTAGCTTCAGTGGAGGGTCCCCGTATGTCTTTCAAGTTTTTATGTTCTCGTCTCACTTTTGGCACAAGTGGTACCCTTTCGACAAATCTAAGCTTGGGCCTTTCAGGAATGGAAACATCTAAAAGCATAGACAACCAGCAATAAGTGAAACTACACATCTTAAAGGATTCATTTTCTTCCTGGAAAGATTTGTAGCAATCAGGTAAAAGTCTTAAATAAAAGGTACCACTGAACAATAGTTCCAAAAGTATGTTAGGTTTTTCTTGTCGATGCGTTCATTGATGCTGGAATCCTCTGGCTATGCCAATGGTTAATGCAAATGTTTCTGAACCTTTGAAGACAGCCAAGTTTTAACCTTCAAACCAAAATGCATTTATTAAATGCCTACTCTGTGCATAACAATATAAAAGGGACCGTTTGCGATGGTATAGAGATATAAGACTGTCATAGAAAAACACTAGCTAACATTCCCCCCCCCCCCTTGGAATGTTTACTAAGTGCTGGAATTGAGCTGAATACTTTACATGAATTATTTCATTTAATCTTTAAAACAACTTTATAGCCTTGGTATTTTTTTAGGGCTTCCTTTTAAATTTTTTTGAACTTTTAAAAGTTTTACACGTATCCAAGGGCCAAATAAAAAAAATGTACAACTCAGTGAATTATCACCAAGTGAATGCACAAACACACCCATATAATTATCACCCAGATCAAGAAACAGAACATGAGGTAGGTAAGCAGTTTTCATCTCAATTTTAGAGAGAGGAACTTGGGGCCTAGAGACATTCTATAATTTGGTCTGGGCCATCCAGTTAAAACATAGCCAGATAATATGCCACTTAAAAATTACACTGCCTCTCTGGATGTTATTACATTTTACATGAAAATTCCGAAGTTCTGCTCTGCCACATTCTTGTTGGGAAAAATTCCAACCTAGGACTCTTTTGCTCCGTGCTTTCCTTTACAAATACGGGCTTTTCATGTTGAGACCCGCACATATCCT